CTGAAGAATAAAAAACTTTTTCTAGTTTTGTAAACATACAGATGTCTTGGAGCCGTTTTGATGGAATTTTTACCCTGTTTGACTCTGTGTCTGTTAAAAATAAAGAAAAAACAAAAACGGAACACATAAAAGCATGAATAATCCGACTGAATAAGTATAGTTCATTTGCGTTGATGTTTAATAGTGCTACAATGAAAAGTTACCAAATTTTCATTGTTTTCGTGTAACGCCTCAGACTAAGAAACATCTTTTGCCTCTTAATTTTCCTATGTACTTGTGCAATTGAGTGCCCTCGTGTGAACGCATTAAGGGACTAGTCCCTGCTACCGGTCCCCTCGTGTAAACCCTTCAAAGACTTGTCGCCGGGACTAGTCGCACGGACTAGTCGCAGGGACTAGTCCCCTCGCGTGTGCCGACCTTTAGAGTGACTTGAATCTTAGAAAAGTATAGAAAATATGCATAATGATGGTAAGGTGTAAAGGGATTATAATGACGTCAGTTTGACAACTGATGTGCGCTTGCCACTCACGCATGAAGTTATGCGTAGAAACGGTGTGCAAAGCATTAAAATAGATTTAACTGAGATGCGCTTGTCCCCTCTGTCTGTCAGGTAATTTTCACATTAGGAATGGTGCGTGGATGTGGAGGTTAAACTGGTTGGCGGATGTGAGCGCGCGCGGAATGGAAAATTCTTTTGGACTTATGATGAACTATAAATATGTCCTAGAGGACGTGGATAAGAACAATCAACAGTATTTACTGAACGGTACTGTTGCTGCATCGCCACAATTTCTGGAGCCATTGCGGTCGTGACATGATCAACTTGAACTTTGCGTGACGAAGAAGTCCCGCGACTTGACATTCTTAAAACTGTCAGGGCATACATAGATGTGGTATTTGATGGTACACATGGAAACGCTTTTCTGCAGAAGTCACTGTGACCAAGTACAAAACTGAGAAGGAAACAAACTAGCCAAGTTTCTGTCACTTGAACGTTTAAGGGAAATAGATGGAAAGAGTCCAGAAACCCTTACGTTGGAAGTCCTTTCACCAGAAATGCGCATTACTAATAATTAAATTACCTTAAAAATAGATTATTAATTTTATTAGTATTATTCTAATTTGCACTGTAATAGCAAAATGAGACAAGCAAAGAATGATAATAATAATAATAATAATAATGATCAACTTTATTTAAAGAGGGTAAAACACATAACAGTATAAAACTGACAAACCAGTGGCCCTCTTAATATATATTACAAATAATTATTGAAAAAGATAAAAACTAATTAATTATGGAAAAAGATCAAGAGCTAGAAATCTAAAAATTACAAAGTTTATAAAAACTATAAGAGAAAATGTTCTAATCGTTTATAACTATTCTTAAAAAAATCTAACATGGCCTTCTTAAAACATTTGATAGTAGGTTTCATTCTTATGTCCAGTGGTAAGGTATTCCAGAGGCGTGAGGTCGATACTGTGAAAGACCTACCTCCCTCTGACTCCCGTTTGAATCGGGGACAGACGAGGTTTAGTTGTCCATGTCTGCTTGATCTTTCATTTATGTCTGCATTTCTTACGAGCATTTGGGACATATAAGGTGGACAGTCCCCAGACAATCGTTTGTACACCATTAGTGACCTATTTACTTTTGCCTCATGAAAGAATGGAACCCAATCCAATTTCCTAAACAGTTGTACGCTATTCGCTTTAGTGTCAGCTCCGAGAATTACACGTGCCGCGCGTTTCTGAAGTTTAAAGACTTTCTGCAAATTCTCAGCAGAACAAGATGTCCATATGGTTGATGCATAAAGCATTGTCTGCTTGATCATAGCATTATAATAAAGTTTCCTTTGATCAATGGGCAAAAAGCGTCTTATTTTTCGCAGCACGGCAATTCTCTGCGATAACTTCGTGCATAGATTTTCGACATGTTGGTCGAAAGTAAGCTGGCTGTCAATCGTGACACCTAATAGTTTATGCGAGTTCACTTGTTCAAGTTCAGTAGAATTAACGTTTAACTGCAGGGTGGACTGTTCCATTTTCTTGGCTAACCGTTTACCAGTGACAAGCATAGATTTGGTTTTGGTTTCATTAAGGATCATTCTGTTGTCAGCTGACCAATTCAAGATTTCATCAATATCCGTCTGAAGGCCGACCGAGATATCATTAGGAGCCGTCGTATAATGGGTGGAGTAGCTAATAGTTGTGTCGTCAGCATAAATATCAGCCACGGAGTGCTGAAGTGTTGCAGGTAGATCATTAATAAAAACAAGGAACAAGATTGGACCTAATATGCTGCCTTGTGGGACTCCCAATGTTAAGGCCCTTTGGGTAGAATGGTGTCCGTCTATATTCACATACTGGCGTCTGCCACTCAGATAGTCACGGAACAGGGGTAGACTGCTCTCACCCACTCCAAGAGCCTTCAATTTTGACAATAGTAGGTTATGGTCAATCAGGTCAAACGCCTTCTTGTAGTCAATAAAAACAAGTCCAGTGGCTTTATCATTGTCAAGGTTAAACAGTAACTGGTCTACCAATCGAATAAGCGCAGTTTCAGTGGAGTGCGATTCTCTAAACCCTGACTGGAGAGGGTGGAATAAGTCATTCTCTTTCAAGAAGTTAACTAGGTATTCACAGATGTGTTTCTCCAGCACTTTCGAAAGAATAGGGAGCACAGAGATCGGTCTATAGTTATTCTTTTCATTCCTACTGCCGTTTCCTTTAAAAACAGGGGTAACTTTTGCGATCTTCCAGGCATTAGGGAAGATCTGTGTAGACAGGCAGTGGTTCAGTAACTTCGTCAGCGATGGAGCAATTGCTGGAGCTGCAATTCTTAGTATTTTGGCGCTGATGCCGTCATCTCCGGTGGCCTTATGGGTTGGGATAGATAACAGTAACTCTACAACTCTCTTCTGAGTTATTCTTGGAAGGTCAAAAGCACTATTGCCTTGACTGATAGAAGTCATCGTTGGGGGGTCAGTCAGCGAGCCAAGCCCAAGTGCAGCAACCAGTTTCTTCGGTTGATCAACAAAAAACGAGTTTAGTATCTCAGCAATGCTTTGCTTATCCGAGATATTTATCTCGTTTTCAACAAGTTCCTTTATGCCGTTCTCAGCCCCTTTGTCGTCCTTCGAAAGACACTTGATTAGATTCCAAAGTTTCCTGGAATTGTTCCTGTTTTCAGTGACTTTATCTTTGAAGTAGGATTGTTTTGTACTTCTGATAAGTTGAGTCACTGTGTTTTTCGCTCGCTTAAACGCATTCCAATCCCTTTCTGCTTGGCTTTTTCTAGCTTTGACAAGAAGTTTGTCACGAGCCTTTATCCCCTTCAAGATTTCGGTGTTAAACCATTTTGGCTGAACTTTGCGCTTTACTCTCTTTTGTTTCAAAGGGAGGTGTTCGTCGATAATGTCATTAAATACTTTATACCAGGCGTCGACAACATCATTGGTATCCTCGAACACAAAGGCACAGTCCCAGGGGGCCTCTTGAAGCGATGAAACAAATTGCTCTTTGTTAAGACCTTTAATGTCCCGATAAGTTATCGTCGTGTGTTGATCTTTATTGTTCTTTGGACATGTAATGAATTTCCTTGTAACAATNATATTTTGCTACTAATCAACAGAAGAGATGTAAAATGATACCATATGTCCGATTTATGCTATTTTAACAAATGAGTAAGTTTTTAGAGCCTCCAGCGAAACGCTGAAATTAAACTCTGAAATCAACACTTTTCTCTGTTTTTGACCGTCTTCACATCTCGTCGCCAAAAATTTGATAAAATAGCATTGCGAACCAAATTAATATAATTTTTGGCGATAGATTAGATCAAGTATCTCACAGTAAAAATTTGAGGGAATTCTGTGATCGGCCGAAATTCGAGTGGTCGGTTCTTACGCGGACAGCCTCTTCAGCCGTATCAATTGGATATTAAGTCCATTTCTGATGGGTTTAACAGCAAGTCAGGGATCGCCTTGTACAACCCTGTCATTTTGAAATGCTTGCAAACGAATTCGATTTATAAGTTGAGAACGTTGACCGAAATCCCCTTCTACCTCTCTTTTTGCTCCGTCGCAAAACTGATTCCCCTCCAGGAAGACGTTTATCCATGTAATCTAAGTTACGTCTTTCACTTGACCTTTGAGAAGTAGTCCATGTTTTTGTTGCCAATTTTTGAGAAATACCCTTGGTGAAAGATAGACCTGCAACGTTCGCTACCCACATTACAATATTACCTGGGTATGATCAACCAGTAAAACTCAATAGATGGTTTGTTTCCATAACACCATCCTTTTCATCCAAAACTACTGTTTAAGTCTCCGACAAACTCCAACCTTTTTGCCACAGTCGGACTAATGCAATATTTTTATGCCCAACATACCCTGTCTAACCTACTCTGGAAAGTGCAGTACATCACGGAGACAGAAAGAAGACTTGAAGTTTCCGCCTTACCGATAAATTCTTTAAAACCGTGACTTTCTTTGTCTTCAATGAAAGCAACTCTGGAAGTCGAAATCTTTTCCACAGATCACAACGTGTGTCGTTCTGTTAATGTATTTTCGTACACTTGTTGTCGTTGTCACAATTATCAGATTAACTGACTGCTCTTGTTAATGAGCACCTGATAAACTTTCTCATTACAACTCCATTTTGTTGAGATCCCTGCTTTTCCAAATCTCAGCAGTAAATTTGCCTTCTTGAATTATAAGCTGATGATCACCAAAGTTCTTCCTCTGTTACAGGATTTTGAATTTGCTGGCCGATATCATAGTACTTGCCACTGCAACCATCATCTTATTACCTTCGTCGACATGCACTATTACTGGCATGTACAGAATGCGTTTATTCATTCCCTCCAGTTTTGCTCTAACTGGACTTCAAGTGTGTGTGTGTTTTTTTTTATCAAATTTTCCTTTGTATACCTAGGAATTGCTGATGTAGGGCTACGTCGTTTTTCCTATTTTTTTGGTGACCTGCATTTTTCGGTCGAGTGTAGGTGTTGAATGGCTTCTTTACTTCATCTATTACAAGTTACAAGTATATAACAAGTTTGAAATACAAAATAAGATTCGCGAAAGGCCACAAGCTGTCGAAACAAGCAGTGGTTTAGCGCATAACAATATTTAAGCCAAATCTAATGAGAATACAGATATATAAAATTAAAAGTACATTTTATTAACTAAAGAGTATCTCTATATGTAAAAGTGTCGTAATAAAAGAATGATAAATAATCACTGTCAGTTACAACAAACAAGCGAGAAAAAACGTGTATATGACTAACTAAACGACCTCACCGCTTACCTAAGAAAAGCGATCTAAATGCAAAGAAATAAAACTATCTGATTACCGTATTAACAAACATTTAAATAAAAAGAGGAATATGAGAAATTGTAGTAGTTTAACTAAGACGATCATAGCCAACTTAAACAGCAATGTGAATCATTACCAAAATATTAACTGAAGTATTTTCTTTCTGTCATCATATCTAAGGCTACCACTGACAATGACTTTTCTCAAGTTGATACAAACACACTTCATAACATTTCTCCTGACTTGATAACCTTTTCCGTTGTTTCAGAGTTTTGTCCTCTTTGCCCAAAGGTCTCGCCGGAATTTTGTTTGTAACCTTTCTTTAACATAAGATCTGAGTAAGCAAATGAAAAGGGACTGTGTTGTTATTTCGTGTTTAGTGGTAGGAGCATTTTTCCCATTCTAAAAAAAAAACCACTTTCACACGTTGCGTTTTTTAATTGTTTTGCC